GATTTAACTTGAATAACTACAATAGGGTTCTTAACTATGGGTTGTCTGTAACTCAGGCGTTTTTAACAGGGGGACTAACTGTATTTGGGAACTGAGGCAATTGATTTGAGTCAACAATGGTGTGTTGGCTGAGGTTAGCCACATACTAGCCAACCATGTTTCACCCTCCAAAGCTGGAGAGCCCAGCCAGAGACTGAAGAAGACAAGCGAGTGACAGGATTCACAGAGGCTCAAAGGTAGTTGGGGAATTTGTGGCAGGGCATACCGTGCAACCAACCAGTCTAACTGTTTTATGCTTCAATGGGTAATGTGAATCCAGCCAATTGAGTAAATTCTGAGTAAGTAAATTGTGGGTTAGAGTAGTGCAGGAAGGTAGGGGAATGCTTTATTTTTATATCTGAAAGCAATGAATGGAACAGATTTGGCCTCATTTAAAAAATTCTATAGATACAATGAAGAAAAGTAGAGTGGACTTTTGTGCAATTTAGGCCATGCATTCTAGACTGGGACTTCCATTCTCCTCCTCCTCCTCCTCCTCCTCCTCATGATTGCCATCATTGCAATTTTTGATATCTCAGCATGCCCATTATTATTATTAATAATAGATTTTTATTCTATTCTATTTTATTGTATTCCATATATATATAGGTAACTCAAAATGGCGAACATACTAATACTCTGGCCTCCTATTTTCCCCACAACAACAACCCTGTGAGGTGGGTTGGGCTGAGAGAGAGTGACGGGCTCAAAGTTACTCATCTGGCTTCATGCGTAAGGGAGGCCTAGAACTCAGAGTCTCCTGGTTTCTAGGCCAGCACCTTTGCCACTACACCACAATGGCTTTCTGTTAAGATCCAGTGGAACGTAACAGGAATATTGTCAAGCAGGACCATCCACAGGGGAAGTAAAAAAAGTCAAGATGGCAGCTGCACAATCCTGTCCTTTTTTACATACATCAAAGAATGTAAAAAGGAGTGGGACTTCAGCTGTGTAGTTGTGGTTACCATTTTGACTTTTCTGAACTCCTCCCCTGTGGACGCCTCTGTGGTCAAGTAAGTAAGCTGAGAAAGTCCCTGCATGGTGGCCGCCAAAGGTAATGCGTCTGGCCCCATCAGCACTGCCCTCTTCTTGAGTCTTCTCTTCCTCTTCCTCCTTCTTTTCAAATACCTAAATGATGTTTATCCAGGGCCAGTTCTATTATTAGGCTGGGTGGGGTGTCTGATTCAGGCTACTGGAACAATAGCCCTATGTTAGAGAGCAGATACGGGTTCTAATTTTGGGCTGCTAAGCAAGTCAACAGGTATGGTGGAAAATGTCTGGTTGCTAGCACTGGGCAAGACTAAGTTTCTAATCTGGTCAGGTTCGTTGCAAGAAATGAGAGGACCTCCTCTTTTTTGCTAAGAGCAGAGTAAATGAGTCTAGGTAGATTAAAGACAATATAAACAGTAAACCATGTATTGCTTTGTTATTCTATACAATTCTTCAAAATGATTCAATAAAACGATTTATTCAATAAAACCATTTATTGTCATATACCCAGGATACAGAGACAGAATATTTATTTATTTATTTATTTATTTATTTATTTCTGGATGATCAGTTTCCATATGAATTAAAGGGAGCTGGATAATTTTGCTCAACTATGATCTACATATGAGAGTATTTGTTGAAAAAAATCTGAAAAACCCAATTTTGCACAATTTGTTATTTCTACCTGTTCTTTATCTTTTAATTACATTTTTAATGTGTGAATGTGTTTTTATTTTTAAGGTTGATCTTTGATTATGAATAAAATTGATATTTAATAGTGGCTCCATTCAATTTCTGCCACTTGAGCAATGAGAGATGCTCAAAAGTGCTTCTGTAACCTAGCCCTATCTATTTTTACTCCAGAATACAATAGTCATACTGTATTTTGTTCAATGATTTAGTCATGATTACTACATATTGCTTCTCCATATAATTTTGTACAAAGTGTGATTCAGAGGATCAGGTGCCTTGTTTATTGCCATCAGTAGATATATTGTTCAATAGTTCAGAGACAATTTCTTAATAAAGAAACATAAAGGACTTGCATAATGTAATGCATCAATCAATAATATGGTGCCCACAGATATTTGTTTATATGATTTAGAGGCCACCAATTCTCAATAATTCCAGTCATCTTACATTTAAAAAGCAAGAAAGACTAAAAGTAAAGATACAGATTATATGCATCTACAAAACAAACCATACATAACAAAGAAGACATCCTACAGGGACTCAACAATCATCCTACTGTAAGACCTGGAAGAATAGCCAGGTTTTTAGTGACTTTCTGAACATTATTAGAGTGGGAGCCGGATGGGGGAATGCTGTTCCAGAGGGCAGGGGCTGTGATGGGGAAGGCACACTTTGGTCCCACAAGACAACTACAGTACGCTCTGCCTGATTGTACCATATGGGAAAACACAATTGTACATAGGTGGTCCCTCAAACAACCAGGCCCTATGCCATGGAGAGCTTTATAGGTGATAATCTGCACTTTGAATTGTACCCAGAAGCCAGACAACCTTTTTCATTTCTAGCAGCTGGTCTGCAGAACCCACATATATGGCTGAAATCTGTTGAAATCACCAAATCTTATGAAAATTCAGAGTTCTCGCTTGAAATCTCCTGAGGCTGAGATAAGAACATCAACATTTCGTGATATCTTGAGAGTTGAAATCTAAAAGAAAAAGAAAAAAAGATAATCCCATGAGATTCCACCTCTTTACATTTTTATTTTTCGCAGCTCGTGTTATCATACCACATAAAAATCTCATGGGTCAAGGACAGCACAGACAATCATAAGAAATGACAACAGCTTTAGCTCTATACCTATAAGGCTGCTAATTGCTTGACTACCCTGTTTACAGAGCTGGGAATTCTGGGAATTACAGTCTGGGAACACATCTGGGGATTCCATGTTGGAAAAGGCTGACTTACAGGGTTATTATCATGATTATAGTAAGGAACACACATGAAACAAGAACACTACACAAGTATTAATTATTACAATTAAGAGTGTTACATCCTCCTCACGTTCCTGAGCAGTGAACAGTTTCAAGGGCAGGATGACAAGGCTTAATTTTCTTGGGATGAGGAAATGTGCTATGAACAAACAGAGAGATCAGA